GTTTTTAAAACAGTGCCCATCTGGCCAGATTCGGGCCGGGAGGAGCCTAGGGAGCCGGCCCAGGACCGGTGAGGCCGGCGTCAGGGTGCCTGGTGCGTCCCGGGGTGCGGTGAGCGCAGGGCACCTGCAGGAGGCGGACAGGAACCGGTGCCGCCTGGGGCCGGGGCGACAAGCTCTGGTCCGTCCCAGGCCGCACGGGCTCCCTGAGTTTCTTCCTCCCATGACCGCGCCTCCTGCACCCTGGAGCCGCCGCATCTCCCCAGCAGCGCCGCGCTCTGCAGACCTTCTGCTTCAACACGTAAAACACATTCTTCTTGGTAAGAAATGCGCGTTCGTAGTAGGAAATTAGCAAGATAAATATTATTAAAAAGAACATAAAAACTACGCATCATTAACACCAGATGCTTCATCCTTTAGTCTTTTTGTCTGTGAGAACGGAGTAGAAAAGAACAGAGAACATTTCCCCCGGATTTGGAATCTCCAGCGTTTGTGTCTTCCCAGCCTGCAGCTCTGCTGTTCCTCCCTGGAGCTGTGGCGAGGCGCACTCCTGCCCTGGGCCTCCACTCCTCCCTCTCACAGGGGCCCTGCGAGCTCCTCCCCAGCAGCCCCCAGGACGTCGGGGCCGCACACCCAGCCGCAGCCCCTGCTCTCCTGGACAGTTCTGCAGGTCCAGGCTGTCAGCCAGTCAGGAAGCGTGAGGAGCAGTCCTGGCTGTGAGAGGTTTTCGAACGGAGTAGGAGTCCCGTGGACGGAGAGTTCTTCTAAGTGGATCAGAATAAGACAAAGGAAGCAGAAGTTGAAAGTATAGATTTTTCAGGAAATTTACCTGTGAAATAAATCAGAAGGAGCCAGAGGAGTGAGAACTGGGATGCGGGAAAACTGGAAATGTTTGAATACAATAGACATGGCAGCCGGGTCAGGTGACCCACGCCTGTAATCCCCGTATTCTGGGAGGCTGAGACAAGAGGATGGCCAGTGAGAGACCAGCCTGGGCAACTTAGCAAGACTTTGTCTCCAGTGAATGAATGGGCTGGGGATGTAGCTCAGTATGAAGGCCTGGGTTCGATCCCCAGTATGTAGGAAAAAAACTCAACACAATACAACGCAAACACAAAGAAGGGGAGACAGAGACACCCAGAGTCTTAAATACGTCAGTGCTGATAGTTATTAACCCTGTATGGCAAGTTAGTAGTTTGCTATTTTTCTCTCTCTCTCTGTGTAAAGGATTTAATAAAAGATAAACTCTGGCTTTTATTTTATAATACTAATAAGGTAAAGAAGTTAAAAAATAATTGGTATCCTAATTCATGGATTATTTGAGTTAACTAAATATTACCCTCTATGCCTTGCATGGTCATGATTTTTAAAAATTTTTATCATGATTTTTTTTGAACAATTAGATCACAATTCTTAGTAATCAAAGTTCTGTGAGTATAATTACTAATTTAGATTTTTTTTTTCAGTACCAGGAATCAAACTCAGGACCTTGCACTTGCAAGGCAGGCACAGTGCCACTGAGCTAAATCCTGACCTTTAATTTAGATTCTTGCAGCTGAAGCTCTTCATGTATGAGTTTTTGTTGTTATATAATAGTTTGTATTTTGAAATATTAGGAAATCAAGCTGACATCTTTCTTAATCCCATGATATATGCCAAAAGTAACTAATTCTTCTAAATAATTCTTTTTTTTTTTTTTTAATTTTTTGGTACCAGAGATCGAACTCAGGACCTTGTGCTTGCGAGGCAGGTGGCGGCACCACTGAGCTAAAGCCCTGACCCCTAAATAATTATTTTTTAATTGTTTAATTATTTATTTATTTATTTTGAGGCAGGGCTTTGCTGTGTAGTCCAGGCTGTTCCCAAACTCCCTGCAGTTCTCCTACTCTAGCCTCCCATGAGCTGGGAGCACAGGTGTGCTCAGACACACCTGGAAATTTCTATTATGGATGGTGTTAAAGTAAATTCAGAGGTGATATTACCAAAAATTTGAAACCAAGAGCTACCATTAACAAGCCCTGAATAATAGATAACTGGGGTTAAATATGATTTGGTTTTCTTCTCCCCTGATTTTTTTTTTTTTTTTTTTTTTTTTTTTTTGAGACTAGGTCTCGCTGTGTAGTTCAGGCTTGCCCTGAATTCACTTGGTAGCCCAGACTGGCCTCAAATTTGCAGCAATCCTCCTGCTTCTGCCTCCCTAATGCTGGGATTACAGGTGTGGGCCACCACGCCCAGCTTGCCTAGATTGTTTTATGTGTTAATTAGTAGATTTTTTTGTGGTAATGGAGATTGAACTAGGGCCTCACACATGCTAGGCAAGTATTCTGCCATTGAGCTACATTCCTAACCCTTTTTAAAATTATTATTATTATTATTATTGTACCAGGGATCAAACTCAGGACCTTGCATTTGTGAGGCAGGTGGCAGCACCACTGAGCTAAAATTCCCGGCCCTTTTTTGTTATTTTTTTGAGACAGGGTCTTACGAGCTAGTTCAGGCTGGCCCTGAATTTAGTATGTTGCCCAGGCAGGCTTAAACTGGTCAAATCTTCCTGCCTCAGCCTCCCAAATGCTGGGATGCCAGGCACTTACCACTACGCCCAGCAGTAAATTTTACTTTGAGAAAGGGTCTCCCAAGTTTCCCTGGTTGTCCTCAAACTTGGAACCCTCCTGTCTCATCCTTCTGAGTAGCTGGGATTACAGGTATCTGCCTCTATGCTTAGCATATATGTTGATATTTTTATTTTATTTTATTTATTATTATTAATTTATTTATGTATTTAACTCACTCTGTATGGCCTAGGCTGGTCAGGAACTCACAGCAATCTTCCTGCCTCAGCCTCCTAAATTCTGGGATTACAGGTGTGCACCACGACGCCTGGCTCATATGCTAACATTTCTAATTGGAGCTGATGTCTTGTCTGTCAAGTATATGTTTTGATATAGAACACTAAGATTCCATCCAACCCTGGAAAAGTGCTTGATAACAAATTGTAGTGTCTGTTTGATGTTTTTCTTCATTTTTGGCTGTGCTGACTTGAACCCAGGACCTCAGGCCTGCTGGACACATCTTGTACTACTGTGCTACTTCTCCAGCCTATAAGAGAGTCTATTTTTAAAAAGCTAAGCCAGGAGGAAACTTTCCAAAAACCAAAATCGTGTAAAACAAAAATACTGTGTGTACAAGTAGTTTTAAAAGTGATGTCCTCTAGAAATAATATTCTATTTAAACGGAAAGGCAAAACTTTTCTCATTGGGGAAGATTTCAAAGAGTAAAATAATGATCCCACGTATATGAAGTTATTATCAAGACTTGTAGCATTTGCCTCATTTCTTTCTTTTTTTGGTGAAATATTCTGAGCAGCTCTGTAGATCTTCGACATCGTGTCATTTTACTCCTACTTGCTTCTGGGCGTGCGTCCCTTAACAATTTCCCCCTTACTGATATAGGGGGAAGAGATGCAACTCCCAAACCTGCCAGAGTTCATGTTCTCTAAAATCGGAAGAATGAATTCTAGGAACATTGGAGGTTAGGAGTAGGAAAAATTTATGTATTTATTTATTATTTTTATTTATTTATTTATTTTTTGGTTTTTTGAGACAGGGTCTCACTATGTAGTTCAGACCACTCGAATGCACTGTGTACCCCAGGCTGGTCTCGAACTCACAGCGATCCTCCTGCCTCAGCCTCCTGAGTTCTGGGATTACAGGCGTGTGCCACCACACCCAGCTAGGAAAAATTTATTGAGAGAAAGAAAGCTTCTGTCTTCTAGGAGAGACAGAAGAGGGACTGAAAGTGGGCTACCCACCCACCCCACTTCTCAAAGGTGTTTTATACAGCAAAGTCCTGTGGTGAAGGCAGGTACAAAGTGGAATTGAATTATAAGATCCAATGGAAAATTACAAGGTGGGGCAAAACCATGACCAACAGTCTCGAACTCAGCGATCCTCCTGCCTCAGCCTCCTGAGTTCTGGGATTACAGGCGTGTGCCACCACACCCAGCTAGGAAAAATTTATTGAGAGAAAGAAAGCTTCTGTCTTCTAGGAGAGACAGAAGAGGGACTGAAAGTGGGCTACCCACCCACCCCACTTCTCAAAGGTGTTTTATACAGCAAAGTCCTGTGGTGAAGGCAGGTACAAAGTGGAATTGAATTATAAGATCCAATGGAAAATTACAAGGTGGGGCAAAACCATGACCAACCACTAAGATTACAAGTACAGTCACCCAGGTAATATTGATTAA